GCCCAAGTGCAGACATGAGACAATCGAGCATATTGTCTGCCAATAAACATATTGGCAGACAATATGTTTATTGTCTGCCAACATCAGGGAGCTTCAAGACCAATGTTGGTGACCTCACACACAGCTTTGTCAACACTCTTCGTCCTGATGATGTGGTGGTTGTGCTGGAAACATTTCTAGATGACAGGACGCCTGAGAACTTGGCTACAATGACCGGTTATACCTCATGGTTGTCCAGAGACAGTCAGGGTCCAGGAGGGGTGGGGGGGGGGGTTACCTTGAGGTGCTTCCGGGGCTTAGTGTCCCCGCGGCCCGGTCGTCGACCAGGAGGGGGTGTTGCAGTGTGCATCAGTAAATCTGTGCATGTTCAACCCATTGATGTGGTCATCAATGGTCATCTTGATATTATGTTCTTCAAAATGTGCATCAATCCAGGTACCTCAATACTCTTATGTACAATGTATAGACCTCAATGGCAGGGTGGTTCCCCAGTCAACTTGCTGATGGACAACTTCGACTCCCTGCTAATGCAGCACAACTGTTACCACACTATAATGGTCGGTGACCTCAACCTGTATCTTATACTGAGGGATTTTGATGAACTCTTCTTAGCAGTCTTCAACCTTGAACATTTTGTGAGCTTTCTCACCCCCCACGTGTGAGGGGTGAGATATAGGTACCTGGGTGTTAGTCAGCTGTCACGGGCTGCTTCCTGGGGGTGGAGGCCTGGTCGAGGACCGGGCCGCGGGGACACTAAAAGCCCCGAAATCATCTCAAGATAACGTCAAGATAACCACGTGAGGCTCCTCCCTCGACCCTGTGGTGACTGACCTTCCTGCAAGCATAGTTCACTGTAGACCTCTGGGATATGTTGGTTTATCAGACCACCACCTGCAGGCTGTCTTTACTACACTGACTGTCTCGACCACCTGCAGGCTGTCTTTACTACACTGACTGTCTCGACCACCTGCAGGCTGTCTTTACTACACTGACTGTCTCGACCACCTGCAGGCTGTCTTTACTACACTGACTGTCTCGACCACCTGCAGGCTGTCTTTACTACACTGACTGTCTCGACCACCTGCAGGCTGTCTTTACTACACTGACTGTCTCGATCACCTGCAGGCTGTCTTTACTACACTGACTGTCTCGACCACCTGCAGGCTGTCTTTACTACACTGACTGTCTCGACCACCTGCAGGCTGTCTTTACTACACTGACTGTCCGGACCACCTGCAGGCTGTCTTTACTACACTGACTGTCTCGACCACCTGCAGGCTGTCTTTACTACACTGACTGTCTCGACCACCTGCAGGCTGTCTTTACTACACTGACTGTCTCCACCACCTGCAGGCTGTCTTTACTACACTGACTGTCTCCACCATCTGCAGGCTGTCTTTACTACACTGACTGTCTCGACCACCTGCAGGCTGTCTTTACTACACTGACTGTCTCGACCACCTGCAGGCTGTCTTTACTACACTGACTGTCTCGACCACCTGCAGGCTGTCTTTACTACACTGACGGTCTCGACCACCTGCAGGCTGTCTTTACTACACTGACTGTCTCGACCACCTGCAGGCTGTCTTTACTACACTGACTGTCCCGACCACCTGCAGGCTGTCTTTACTACACTGACTGTCTCGACCACCTGCAGGCTGTCTTTACTACACTGACTGTCTCGACCACCTGCAGGCTGTCTTTACTACACTGACTCCGGACAGGTCGAGGTGAAGAACGTGTTCGGACTACCTGGCTTTGGGACAGAGGGAACTGGCCAGTCCTCCGCTCAGAGCTGGAAGTAACTGACTGGAATGCCTCGCTCCAGGGGGACGTGAACAGCCAAGTGAACACCAGTCATATACTGGACCTCCAGCATAGGCCTATCCCTCCAGCATAGGCCTATCCCTCCAGCATAGGCCTATCCCTCTAGCATAGGCCTATCCCTCACCGGCAGTGAGTGACCAAGCCCAGTGATCAGCCCGGGGGGGGGGGTGGATATCACTGTCGGATGACAGCTGAAGACAATTACAAGACTTAGAGATGATTTACAAGGCATCTCCCCCCCCCCTCCTCGGCTCATAACAGAAACATTCATAGACAATCTTGACGAATAATGAAAGTAGTTCAGAAGTGGACAATATCCAGATGGTGATCCCTGACTGGAAGAAAACTTGCATCTGGAAGTGTTGGTTCCAAGGTCTGGTGGTCCCTGGTGAAGGATCGACTGGGACACTCACCTGAGGATACAAGCCCGCCTCTCAACAGAGAAGATGGTACTGTGGCAACCAGCAATCAGGAGAAGGCTGATCTACTGACAAACCACTTTGCTGCCAACATGCGGGTCCCTGGATAGATGGATAGATTTATAAATAGCTGGATACATGGATCGACCACACTCACGACTCTCCCTATCCTCCCTCTCCTTCCTCTCCTCCATCTCTCTCCATCCCTCCGTTACTTACCTCTCCCCCCCCCCCTTCCCCGTTCCCACCCCACTATATCATTACCCCTCTTCTTCTTCCCCTTCTACACAAGCTTCAGGAGAGTATAAGAAAAGTGTCCTGCAAAAGAGAGAACAATTATTATCAGGCAGCAGTCAGAGAATCAGGATGAAAACTGACATCGTTGACAGGACGAAGAGACCCGCGTGAGACCCGCCGTGGCATAACCAACACACCGGTGATTGGCTAGGCCCTGTGGCCACGACGGCCTATACGCTTCCTGGTGCACACCAACCACCTCAATGAGAAAGCGTTGAGACTTTCGGCAAAATGAATATAGAGAATCAAGGAGAAAGGGGGAGGCAGGGAGATGAAGAGGAGAGAAAACAAGAAAAGGGCGACAAGCGTGGAGAGTAAACAAAACAAGGAAGGGGAAAGGGAAGCGGTTAATGGGAAAAGAGGCAGGTGATAAAATAAATCCATAAATTAAGGGTGGTGAGAAGGGGGGAGAGTTGACCACGGTGTTGGAGCACTTCAAGACCTGCAGGTCAGCTCTGGCGAGGTTTATCTGTGAGGGGGCTACAAAGGCGGGGGCCAGAAGCTTAAGCTCGACCCTTCAAGCACATCTAAGTGAATTCACACGCACGTACAGACTCGCGGTGAAGGGAGGTAGTAGGTGTGAGGTGTGAGGGGTATTAGATATCGCTATACACAATCTTCGTGAGAGTAGCTTTGGGGTATGCAGCCCCATCATGGAGCCCCCATCATGGTGCACCATCCTGGAGCCCCATCATGGAGCACCATCATGGAGCAACATCATAGAGCACCATCATGGAGCCCTATCATGGAGCACCATCATGGAGCCCATCATGGAGCCCCATCATGGAGCCCCATCATGGAACCCCCCCATCATGGAGCCCCATCATGGAGCACCATCATGGAACCCCATCATGGAACCCCATCATGGAGCACCATCATGGAGCCCTATCATGGAGCCCCATCATGGAGCCCCATCATGGAACCCCATCATGGAACCCCATCATGGAGCCCCATCATGGAGCACCATCATGGAGCCCTATCATGGAGCCCCATCATGGAGCACCATCATGGAGCACCATCATGGAGCCCCATCATGGAGCCCCATCATGGAACCCCATCATGGAGCACCATCATGGAGCCCCCATCATGGAACCCCATCATTGAGCCCCCCATCATGGAGCCCCATCATGGAACCCCATCATGGAGCCCCCATCATGGAACCCCATCATGGAGCCCCCATCATGGAGCCCCCATCATGGAACCCCATCATTTAGCCCCCATCATGGAGCCCCATCATGGAACCCCATCATGGAGCCCCCATCATGGAACCCCATCATGGAGCCCCCATCATGGAGCCCACATCATGGAGCCCCCATCATGGAACCCCATCATGGAGCCCCCATCATGGAGCCCACATCATGGAGCACCATCATGGAGCCCCCATCATGGAGCCCCATCTAAAAAAAACACATAAGGAAACTCGAAATCGTTCAGAAGTTTGCAACAAGGCTGGTCTCAGACTTGCAAGAGATGCAGTAAGGAGACAGTCTGTAAGAACTACATCCCGCTTGAACAGAGAAAAGAGAGGGGAGATATGATACAGACATATAAAATACTTAGAGGAATTGACACAGTGTTAAAAAAAAGGGGAAATGTACAATTGAATCCCAATAGCTCCTCAAGAGAGGAAGAGTGGATGCTTGAGACACAGATGAGTCAGAGAGATGGTGGAATGCTTTCATTCAGAGTGAGAGTTGTGGAGAGAGTGAATGCACTCAAGGAGCAGCTTGTAGAGGTGACTCTTACTGCACGAGTAAATGTAGTAAGGAAATAGGATAAAAGGCATTGCATTTGACTACTTGTGGCTAGAAAGACGGGGTCCCTGAAGGTAATACTCGATCCTGCAGTCACAGATGGGTGAGTACGCCCACACACACACACATACACACTCACATACACACACACACACACACACACACACACACACACACACACACACACACACACACACACACACACACCACACACACACACACACACTCTCTCTCTCTCTCTCTCTCTCTCTCTCTTCTCTCTCTCTCTCTCTCTCTCTCTCTCTCTCTCTCTCTCTCTCTCTCTCTCTCTCTCTCACACACACACACACACAACACACACACACACACACACACACACACACACACACACACACACACACACACACACACACACACACCCGAGCATGGGGAGCCTTATAGCTGAGTGGACAGCGCTCTGGACTCCTAATCCTAGACTCCGGGTTCGACCCCGACTGATGGCAGAAAACAAAATGGGCAGAGTTTCTTTCACCCTAATACCCCTATCAATCGTTACCTTGCTTCGCCCCCCCCCCCACTATTCACATATTCCCAATATGTCACATCCATTATCATCCCCACACACATACACTTCCTTCACCCCCCCCCCCTCACCAGCACCCCATCAATCCCCCGTCACCCACAACCCCCCCACATCAACTACACCTCACCTGTGTGTCCCCAGAAACTGTGCTACCTGCCGGAGGGAGACCTCACACTACGTCAATGGGAGAACCGTGAGGTCACGCAGCTGCTGGGTCTTCCGCCCCCGTCAGTCAGCTGTCCCGGGCTGACTGCTACGTACACCCTCACTATGCCAGGTGAGGCTGCTGCTTCTCCCTCATCTCTTGACCCTCACTATGCCAGGTGAGGCTGCTGCTTCTCCCTCATCTCTTGACCCTCACTATGCCAGGTGAGGCTGCTGCTTCTCTCTCATCTCCTCACCCTCACTATGCCAGGTGAGGCTGCTGCTTCTCTCTCATCTCTTGACCCTCACTATGCCAGGTGAGGCTGCTGCTTTTCTCTCATCTCTTGACCCTCACTATGCCAGGTGAGGCTGCTGCTTCTCCCTCATCTCTTGACCCTCACTATGCCAGGTGAGGCTGCTGCTTCTCTCTCATCTCTTGACCCTCACTATGCCAGGTGAGGCTGCTGCTTCTCTCTCATCTCTTGACCCTCACTATGCCAGGTGAGGCTGCTGCTTCTCTCTCATCTCTTGACCCTCACTATGCCAGGTGAGGCTGCTGCTTCTCCCTCATCTCTTGACCCTCACTATGCCAGGTGAGGCTGCTGCTTCTCTCTCATCTCTTGACCCTCACTATGCCAGGTGAGGCTGCTGCTTCTCTCTCATCTCTTGACCCTCACTATGCCAGGTGAGGCTGCTGCTTCTCTCTCATCTCTTGACCCTCACTATGCCAGGTGAGGCTGCTGCTTCTCTCTCATCTCTTGACCCTCACTATGCCAGGTGAGGCTGCTGCTTCTCTCTCATCTCTTGACCCTCACTATGCCAGGTGAGGCTGCTGCTTCTCCCTCATCTCTTGACCCTCACTATGCCAGGTGAGGCTGCTGCTTCTCCCTCATCTCTTTACCCTCACTATGCCAAGTGAGGCTGCTGCTTCTCCCTCATCTCTTGACCCTCACTATGTCAGGTGAGGCTGCTGCTTCTCCATCATCTCTTGACTCTCACTATGCCAGGTGAGGCTGCTGCTTCTCCCTCATCTCTTCCCCCTCACTATGCCAGGTGAGGCTGCTGCTTCTCCCTCATCTCTTCCCCCTCACTATGCCAGGTGAGGCACCTTCTCCCCTCAGTGTGACAGGTGAAAGAACTCTTTCCTCATTCTTTGTCTGCTTTCATTACACCCTTTATTTCTCTTTCATTCTGTCGAGTTGCCCATTCTTTATCATCCTTTCTTATCTCGTATTCCTGCATTATCTCTCTCTCTCTCTCTCTCTCTCTCTCTCTCTCTCTCTCTCTCTCTCATCCCTCTTTCTTACGTCTCTCTATCTCAACCTCACTTATTCTCGACAATTGTTTCCTTTGTTCGCTTTACTTCATTTTAATATGCACTCATAATTGTCCTCATAAATTCCGTAAATGACACTCACACAATATGTAAATAATCCCATAGACTACGCATGTTTTCTCATGCTGTATAAATTGTATTATACATTGGATTTAATTGCTGGCATTTTTTTGAGGTGTGCATAAGTTGTATTTTATTGCCATGAAAAAAATAGTATATTTTTTTATTTAAAAAATAATAAATTTATGTCTAACTTAAGACAACTTAACCTGTCTCATTCTAACTTTACACAACACATCATAACTTACTATAACTTAACCTGACGCAATCTAAAGTTGCAAACGACAACTTGACAGGCGTGGAGAGTGGACGGGAGGAGTTGATGACGACGGTAGACAGGTTAGAGGTGAGGCCTACTCAGTCCCTCGACCGTGAGAGACGGGAGGACACCTTACCCTTCACTGTCACCTGCACTATACAGGTAGGTACTCACTGTCACCATACAGGTAGGTGCTTCACTCTCACTGTAAAGGGAGGGGGAGCAGGAGCTTCACTGTCACCATCCACTGTAAGTGAGACTTCTAACCCATAATCAGCTGACATTTTTTGGCGGGAAACAAACTGAACGCGCTCGTAATCAGCTGACAAACTTTTGGCGGGAAACAAACTGAACGCGCCCTTAATCAGCTGACAAACTTTTGGCGGGAAACAAACTGAACGCGCTCGTAATCAGCTGACAAACTTTTGGCGGAAAACAAACTGAACGCGCCCTTAATCAGCTGACAAAGTTTTGGCGGGAAACAAACTGAACGCGCCCTTAATCAGCTGACAAACTTTTGGCGGGAAACAAACTGAACGCGCTCGTAATCAGCTGACAAACTTTTGGCGGGAAACAAACTGAACGCGCCCTTAATCAGCTGACAAACTTTTGGCGGGAAACAAACTGAACGCGCCCTTAATCAGCTGACAAACTTTTGGCAGGAAACAAACTGAACGCGCCCTTAATCAGCTGACAAACTTTTGGCGGGAAACAAACTGAACGCGCCCTTAATCAGCTGACAAACTTTTGGCGGGAAATGAGCTGAGGGGATGAAGGCGCATGTGTCAACAAAGGGTGTTGGCACAGCAGTGCTGACCACGTTGAGATCATCGATTGATCAAACACTTTCTCTGTGTATTTTACGAGGTGGATGATGTCTCCTGGGTGACAGATGACGACTCTGGTGCGCGCTCAAGGGGCGTGTTGTGATTGGCTGCAGGGAGTGCGCGGGGATAATTTTATTTAATCAGTATCCAATGAGGATTTAATCTGACCTCCGCCTAGAGGTAGCGGGAACAACATTACTTCCCGTACTAGACTTCAGAGGGCGCTGGTAATATTTCCCCAGCTAGACAAGGCGTGAATTAACATTATTGCCGTTCTTGACAGGTAAGGAATTAATATTTCCCGACCTAAAGAAGGCAAGGATAAAATTATCCAACTTAAAGAGGCCGGGGATATTATAATCCCACCGAGAGACCCCGCGTGGATTTACGATACTAATCCAAAGACTTAATGGGATTATATTAACTTTGAGATAGTGAGATATTATCCCTACCTGACGTGAGGGGGTATTAATCAACACCTTACGAGAGTGTAAATACATTATTCTTTACTTCCTCAGGCAGGCAGGAGAGAGGTGATATAATTTGCCAGCGACTTTGAAATGTTTTGAATTAATAAGCCAAATATAATGTAATTAAGTAACCACCACCATCGCGTGATGGATTTTTTGGGTTGACAGCAAAAATATTGTTACATTTTTTTTTAATAGGTGTTATGGTATTATTGTTTGTCTTGAGCAGTGTTACCAGACCTGGTTAGAGTCTGTCCCCACTGATAACCTAACCTATCCTCACAGGGATCGGAGCGCCAACTAGCCCCTCAGACACGCAATGGGACGCTGTTCATCCTGGATGAAGACGACTCCCCACCCATTAGGACCAGGAACCCCTTCGTGGAGTGGCACTATGGCACTGACTTCGAGGACGTGAGTGGCTCTGTTGTGGGCGAGGGGGGGAAGAGGGTGAGAGATAGAGGGAGAAGGAGAGAGAGAATTAGAAGAATTCCAAGACAAGTTCATTAGTATGAACTTGGTTTACAGCTAGAGTGTCAACAGAAACACACCATCTTGAGGTTATCTTGAGATGATTTCGGGGCTTTAGTGTCCCCGCGGCCCGGTCCTCGACCAGGCCTCCACCCCCAGGAAGCAGCCCGTGACAGCTGACTGACACCCAGGTACCTATTTTACTGCTAGGTAACAGGGGCATAGGGTGATAGAAACTCTGCCCATTGTTTCTCGCCGGCGCCCGGGATCGAACCCAGGACCACAGGATCACAAGTCCAGCGTGCTGTCCGCTCGGCCGACCGGCTGCCCATTGTGTATGATGACAAACTGATTCATGGGAACACAAGGTCATTGTACGGACTACAGGATAAACCAGGCACTGTAGCTTTACAACCTCAAAGGCCGATTAAAAAGGGGAAGTTTGGAGGAATTACCAAATAAGCAACAAGAAAATTGTCTCCATTCATTCTCAGCAGTTTCTTACTAGTCTTGTGAACAATTTGTATGTTCACCCCAAGATCCCTGAAGGGCTCTCGAACTTACCAACCTCGAAGGTTTCTATAAATCACTGCTCAGTAAACTATGTGTCCTTGACAAGGACTACTAACCCAACTACGGAGAAGCTGAAACATTATTTCTCAATAAGACGTTTAAGCTTTCTTCGTACTGTGCACTAAAGACCTTTAGAGACTATGTGAAAATCTATATAAATCACAATAGCGTGAGGCATCAAATGAACAATTGTGTTCATTTGTTCATTTTACAATAGTGTAAAACCCTGGTTTGTATCTCGGAGAGGCTGCAGGATCCGTGGTAGGTCCATTTGAACTCCCGGTTGCAATTTTTTTTTACCATGTCGTAGCCCAGTTGAGTAAGGCAGCGTCTGGGATCCTCTCGGACGTAGGTTCGAATCTCCGTCACGGCCCTTGTCGATTTGTTCACTATGTGGAGGATAATGGACGCCTCATCCCTCAAGATTTACACCCATTACTGACCTGTTTACAAGTTATTCCTATAAGAACTGCTGAGTGTGAGAGGAGATTCACTCACATGAATCTGATAATAACATCAACACGATCAGGAATTCTCATAAATCATGTATGAGCAGTTGTGTGTGTTAAACTACATGGACCTCCTCTAGTTCAGTGGAATCCTGAGCCATATCATGGCTGTGGTACCACAGATCCTGAGCCATATCATGGCTGGGGTACCACAGATCCTGAGCCATATCATGGCTGGGGTACCACAGATCCTGAGCCATATCATGGCTGGGGTACCACAGATCCTGAGCCATATCATGGCTGGGGTACCACAGATCCTGAGCCATATCATGGCTGGGGTACCACAGACCAGCAGGACAAGAGGTGCTTCACACCCCTGAAAACATCTCACACTTTGTGGACACTATTGTGAGACTTCTCACTGATTGTATTGTATGAGCACTAAGTGTTTTAACTTCTTAAATTGATAGATACACGATTGATGGGTTTTTTCTTACGTTTGATAATTATATTTTATGATAATTAGTGAGTCCAAACACGAAATACTTAATCGTGGGACACGTACAGAAACATGATGGGAAATGATAGACTTTGTTCAGGCCCATCAGAGACCCCGGCACCTATGACATTGGCTCTGCACCCCTGCATGTATAATGTGTGGTCATGACACATGTATAATGTGTAGTCATGACACATATATAATGTGGGGTGAGCATGGCCTTAGTAGAATACCGTCTTTAACCACCAGCGTACGTGAAGCACTTTCATTATACATGACTGGTTGGAGACTTGAAGGAGATTAACTAGCTAGTGATTAATAGCAATAGGGGGAGTAATAGGGGGATGTAATATTTGTTGGTTGTAATGTGAGTATTTATGTGTGTCTTAATAATACTTGATATTTTCTTTTCTAACAACCACTACTGACCAGCCGCCAATAACAACATCTCGGTGCTAACCACCACTAATCACTAACCACCCAGACTAACCACCCCACTAACCACTAACCACCCCCACTAACCACCCCACTGACCACTAACCAACCCACTAACCACCCCACTAACCACTAACCAGCCCACTAACCACTAACCAGCCCACTAACCACTCTGACTAACCACTAACCACCCCCACTAACCACTAACCACCCCCACTAACCACCCCACTAACCACTAACCAACCCACTAACCACTAACCACCCCACTAACCACTAACCAGCCCACTAACCACTCTGACTAACCACTAACCACCCCCACTAACCACTAACCATCCGCACTAACCACCCCACTAACCACTAACCATCCCCACTAACCACTAACCACCCCACTAACCACTAACCAGCCCACTAACCACTAACCACTCTGACTAACCACTAACCACTACACTAACCACTAACCATCCCCACTAACCACCCCACTAACCACTAACCATCCCCACTAACCACTAACCATCCCCACTAACCACCCCACTAACCACTAACCATCCCCACTAACCACTAACCATCCCCACTAACCACCCCACTAACCATCCCCACTAAACACCCCCACTAACCACTAACCACCCCCACTAACCAGCCCACTAACCACTAACCAGCCCACTAACCAATAACCAGCCCACTAACCACTAACCACCCCACTAACCACTAACCATCCCCACTAACCACTAACCATCCCCACTAACCACTAACCATCCCCACTAACCAGCCCACTAACCACTAACCAGCCCACTAACCACTAACCACCCCCACTAACCAGCCCACTAACCACCCACTAGCCTAGCCCACTAACCACCCCCACTAACCAGCCCACTAACCACCCCCACTAACCAGCCCACTAACCACTAACCATCCCCACTAACCACTAACTACCCCCACTAACCATCCCGACTAACCACTAACCACCCCCACTAACCAGCCCACTAACCACCCCACTAACCAACCACTAACCAGCCCACTAACCTAACCACTAACCACCCCACTAACCACTAATCACCCCACTAACCACCCCCACTAACCAGGCCACTACCCCACTAACCACTAACCACCCCACTAGCCAGCCCACTAACCACCCCACTAACCACTAATCACCCCACTAACCACCCCCACTAACCACCCCACTAACCAACCCACTAACCACCCCACACCCCACTAACCACTAACCACCTCACTAACCAGCCCACTAATCACTAGCCACTAACCACCCCACTAACCACTAACCACCCCACTAACCACCCCCACTAACCACTAACCAGCCCACTAACCACTAATCACCCCACTAACCACCCCACTAACCAGCCCCACTAACCACCCACTAACCAGCCCACTAATCACTAAACCACTAACCAGCCCACTAACCACTAACCACCCCACTAACCACCCCACTAACCACTAACCACCCCACTAACCAGTCCACTAACCACTAACCACTAACCAGCCCACTAACCACTAACCACCCCCACTAACCACCCCCACTAACCACTAACCACCCCCACTAACCAGCCCACTAACCACTAACCAGCCCACTAACCAATAACCAGCCCACTAACCACCCCACTAACCACTAACCATCCCCACTAACCACTAACCATCCCCACTAACCACTAACCATCCCCACTAACCACTAACCATCCCCACTAACCATCCCCACTAACCACTAACTACCCCCACTAACCATTCAGACTAACCACTAACCACCCCCACTAACCAGCCCACTAACCACTAACCAGCCCACTAACCACTAACCAGCCCACTAACCACTAACCAACCCACTAATCACTAACCACTAACCACCCCACTAACCACTAACCACCCCACTAACCACTAACCACCCCACTAACCACTAATCACCCCACTAACCACCCCCACTAACCACTAACCAACCCATTAACCACTAATCACCCCACTAACCACTAACCACCCCACTAACCAGCCCACTAATCACTAACGACTAACCACCCCACTAACCAGCCCACTAATCACTAACCACTAACCACCCCACTAACCACCCCCACTAACCACTAACCACTAACCACCAGCTGGACGACCAGTTGATGGTGCTGGACCCGGACATGTACACCACCAATAACTACCACATAGAGCTGCTCGGCAACACCCACAACCTCGTCATCATCGAGAGCTCCACCAAGTTCGAGGTGAAGAAGGAGCTGTGTGTTATGGAGGCTGAGAACGTGACGGGCGTCTCCATCACCGCCTCCTGCACCCTCCTCACCCCTGGTGAGTGTTGTGTTCCTGCACCCTCCTCACCCCTGGTGAGTGTTGTGTTCCTGCACCCTCCTCACCCCTGGTGAGTGTTGTCCTCCTGCACCCTCCTCACCCCTGGTGAGTGTTGTGCACCCTCCTCCTGTTCCTCCTGCACCCTCCTCACCCCTGGTGAGTGTTGTCCTCCTGCACCCTCCTCACCCCTGGTGAGTGTTGTCCTCCTGCACCCTCCTCACCCTGGTGAGTGTTGTCCTCCTGTCCTCCTGCACCCTCCTCACCCCTGGTGAGTGTTGTGTTCCTGCACCCTCCTCACCCCTGGTGAGTGTTGTCCTCCTGCACCCTCCTCACACCTGGTGAGTGTTGTCCTCCTCCTGCACCCTCCTCACCCCTGGTGAGTGTTGTGTTCCTGCACCCTCCTCACCCCTGGTGAGTGTTGTCCTCCTGCACCCTCCTCACCCCTGGTGAGTGTTGTCCTCCTGCACCCTCCTCACCCCTGGTGAGTGTTGTGTTCCTCCTGCACCCTCCTCACCCCTGGTGAGTGTTGTCCTCCTGCACCCTCCTCACCCCTGGTGAGTGTTGTGTTCCTCCTGCACCCTCCTCACCCCTGGTGAGTGTTGTCCTCCTGCACCCTCCTCACCCCTGGTGAGTGTTGTCCTCCTGCACCCTCCTCACCCCTGGTGAGTGTTGTCCTCCTGCACCCTCCTCACCCCTGGTGAGTGTTGTCCTCCTGCACCCTCCTCACCCCTGGTGAGTGTTGTCCTCCTGCACCCTCCTCACCCCTGGTGAGTGTTGTGTTCCTGCACCCTCCTCACCCCTGGTGAGTGTTGTGTTCCTCCTGCACCCTCCTCACCCCTGGTGAGTGTTGTCCTCCTGCACCCTCCTCACCCCTGGTGAGTGTTGTGTTCCTGCACCCTCCTCACCCCTGGTGAGTGTTGTCCTCCTGCACCCTCCTCACCCCTGGTGAGTGTTGTCCTCCTGCACCCTCCTCACCCCTGGTGAGTGTTGTCCTCCTGCACCCTCCTCACCCCTGGTGAGTGTTCTCACCTAGTTGTGCTTGCGGGTGTTGAGCTTTGGCTCTTTGGTCCCGCCTCTCAACCGTCAATCAACTGGTGTACAGGTTCCTGAGCCTATTGGGCTCTATCATATCTACACTTGAAGCTGTGTATGGAGTCAGCCTCCACCACATCACTGCCTAATGCATTCCACCTGTTAACTACTCTGACACTGAAAAAGTTCTTTCTAACGTCTCTGTGGCTCATGTGGGTACTCAGTTTCCACCTGTGTCCCCTTGTTCGCGTCCCACCAGTGTTAAACAGTTTATCTTTACCCGGTCAATTCCTCTTTTTGTACAGAATTTTATATGTAGTGAGCATGTCTCCCCCTTACTCTTCTGTCTTCCAGTGTCGTGAAGTACATTTCCCGTAGCCTTTCTTCGTAACTCATGCCTCTTAGTTCTGGGACTAGCCTAGTGGCATATCTCTGAACTTTTTCCAGCTTCGCCTTGTGCTTGACAAGGTACGGGCTCCATGCTGGGGCCGCATACTCTAGGATTGGTCTTACATATGTGGTATACAAGGTTCTCAATGATTCCTTACACAGGTTCATGAAGGCAGTTCTGATGTTAGCCAGCCTCGCATACGCCGCAGATGTTATTCTTTTTATGTGGGCTACAGGAGACAGGTTTGGTGTGATATCTACTCCTAGAACTTTCGCTCTGTCCGTTTCATGAAGTACTTCATCTCCCGTTCACTATCCTGTGTCTAGCCTCCTGTTTCCACTGGCTAGTTTCATTGCCTTACATTTACTCGGGTTGAACTTTAGTAGCCATTTGTTCATTCAGTTTGTCTAGGTCATCTTGTAGCCTCATACTATCATCCTCTGTCTTAATCCTCCTCATAATTTTTGCATCGTCAGCAAACAATGAGAGGTACGATTCTATACCCTCTGGGAGATCACGTACATATATATCAGAAACAGTATAGGTCCAAGGACTGAACCCTGCGGGACTCCACTAGTGACGCCTCGCCAATCGGAGACCTCCCCCGTCACAGTAACTCGCTGTCTTCTGTAGCTTAGGTACTCCATTATCTAATGGAGTACCTTCCCTTTCACTTCTGCCTGCATCTCCAGCTTTTGCACTAGCCTCTTGTGTGGTACTGTGTCAAAGGCTTTCTGGCAATCCAAAAATATGCAGTCTGCCCTAATCCTGTGAGGCAGCTGTTGCCATCCCTGAACCCGTGCTGATGTTGTGTTACAAAGTTCTTTCACTCCAGATGTTCCACTAGTTTTGTTCGAAAAATCTTCTCCATCAACTTGCATGGTATGCAAGTTAGGGACACCGGCCAGTACCTCCAGTCTATCCCCACTTGTATATAGGGACTACATTAGCCGTCTTCCAAATTTTTTGCAGTTCACCTGTTATCAGTGATTTGTTATACACTATGGAGAGTGGCAGGCACAGTGCTTCTGCTCCTTCCTTTAGTATCCAAGGGGAGATTACATCCGGGCTTATAGCCTTTGTCACATCCAACTCTAGCAAAAAGCTTCCTTACAGCCCCACTGATAACCTCAAAGTCTTCTAGTGGTTCCTGGTTAACTATTCCCTCTCTTATCTCTGGAACATCCCCTTGTTCTAATGTGAAGACCTCCTGGAACTTTTTATTGAGTTCCTCGCGCACTTCCTTGTCGTTTGTAGTGAATTCTTCTGCCCTTGTCCTTAATTTCATTACCTGTTTTTTACTGTTGTTTTTCTCCTGATGTGGCTGTGCACCAATTTAGGCTGAGTCTTTGCCTTGCTTGCGATGTCATTTTCGTATTGCCCTTCTGTCTCTCTTCTCATCCTGACATATTCATTCCCGGCAATCTGGTATCTTTCTCTGCTCTCCAGTGTCCTGATATTCCTATAGTTTCTCCACACCCTTGTACTTTGTTTGTGTATTTATTTCTTTGTTTGTATACACACTACATAATTACATACAAAATTCATCAATCGTTGTGCTTATTCTTCCCACCTCGTCAACTACACCCTCCCTCCGTCACTGTTCTAATTCTTAACACTGTTTTTCCTCTATTTATAACAAGAGTGTTGTTACAGTGATGAGTTTTGACCACACGAGGCTGCGAGGGAACCTGCCGTCCAAGGTCCAGTTCTCAGTGGTCTTCGTCGACAGGACACTCGTCCCACCAGACAGGAACCGCAGCAAGCAGGTGAGAACCTAGTTTACCTTCAGCTCCTGGGCCTCGGCTCTCACCTCACCTAATGTACTCACCTAGTTGTACTCACCTAGTTGTGTTTGCGGGGGTTGAGCTCTGGCTCTTTGGTCCCGCCTCTCAACCGTCAATCAACAGGTGTACAGATTCATGAGCCTATCGGGCTCTGTCATATCTACACTTGAAACTGTGTTTCAAGTGTGTGTGTGTGTGTGTGTGTGTGTGTGTGTGTGTGTGTGTGTGTGTGTGTGTGTGTGTGTGTGTGTGTGTGTGTGTGTGTGTGTGTGTGTGTGTGTGTGTGTGTGTGGTGTGTGTGTGTGTTTTGACCTAGTTGTTCTTGCGGAGCTGCAGCTTCTCTGCGTCCCTCTGACCTCATAGGAATTTCCAACTTGCATCTGTATCCTCTCGTTCTGTTGCTTCTTATACTGTTTTTATCTGCTTTTGTTATCGTGTATGTGGTAATCAAGTCTCCTCTGACTATCTTCTAGCGATGTTATGTTCAGTTCTTTTAGTCTCTTGACATTCTCTGTTTTATAATGAGTCCTTCATGCAGACATCTGTGGGCCATGTCTAATATATTTAATGTAGAATAAATACTATTCTAGACTAGTTCAATTTTTCTTTGCTGTTTATTTTTGAGCAAGAAATTTGTATATAAATATCTCGGTTGCTTTAAATAAACATCAGGAACAGTTAGTAACATTTTATAATGTTTATTGAACATAATATAGCAAGTCTATATATTGTAAATAATTTGTTTTAATTTATAATGTGTTTTTACGAGAGCTCTCGACACCTATTAGTCCGTTTCTTTTAAATACTTAGCTTCCAATTTTTTTATTGGTGATTTTCCTTTTCCTTTGTTAAATCATTAACTATTGTAGTTTTGGTCTGACACTTAATGTATATTATGAAGAGTCCCGTTGTGACTTTCTCATGAATTAACAGGAAACTGACTTCTCGTTGTTTATATGACAGGTGAATTTAATGGCTAAGCAGGTTTCCCGTTTTCTGTTAAAGGTTAAAATGCAAAGTGAAACAGTTTCTTTCTTTGTATGCTAGATGAAAAGTCAACCCACTTTCCCCATTTTCTTTTACAGATAAAGTGTAAATCTTGAATCTTCCCATTTTCTATGCTAAAAAAAAAGTAAACCCACATCCCCATTTTCTCTCACAGGTGAAGTGCATCGTCAAACTTCTCATTTTCTAAACTTCTCCATTTTCTATGATAAAGGCTAGCCCTTCCCTCCTCCCTATTTCCCATTCTCTCTAACAGGTGCAGTACGATGTGACGTTAACTTTGCCAGACGATAAGGAGCGTTACGTGACTCCTGCCCCGGCGAACAAGGTGGCCAGGCCGGGCGTTAACTGTGAACTATGTGCTGACTCTCTGTCAGAGGTCAGCTGTGAAGCGTGTCTTGAGTACATGGCCTTACTCACCTTGACTCCTCCCGTGGAGCTGAACATCACTCTCACCCCGTGAGTCACACTCGTAGTTCTGTAATGAGCTGTTTGGGAAGCTGTTTGGCTTTGGCTTTGTCTCTGTCTCTCTGTCTCTGTCTCTGTCTGTCTCTCTCTGTCTCTGTCTCTGTCTCTCTCTCTCTCTCTCTCTCTCTCTCTCTCTCTCTCTCTCTCTCTCTCTCTCTCTCTCTCTCTCTCTCTCTCTCTCTCTCTCACCATCTTTAACTCTCACCACACTGACCCCTTTCTACACTCTCACCTCTTTCCTCTTTCTCTCTCCCCCCATCTTGTTTATCTCTTCCTCACCCCCTCTGTCAGTCATTCCTCTCTCTCCCCCCTCTCTCTCACCTCTCATTCTCCCCTTTCTCTCACCTCTCACTCTCCCCTTTCTCTCACCTCTCACTCTCGCCTCTCTCCCACACGCACAGGACCGCCAGCAAGTACTCGAGACTGGGTCAACTGATCTTCCCTAACGTGAGCCTCAGTGACCTGAAGAACCATCACCCGGCGTGTGTGACCTTCACCCTGGCCCCCGACAGCGTGGGCGTGGGCGTGGGCGTGACGCCCATCACAGGCATCCTCTACGTCACCGACCCCAGCCGGTTGAGGGCCGGGGACATCACCGTAGTGAGGGGAAACTCCTCTACCCTGGTGACCCTGAGCGTAGAGGACCCGGTTGTGTCTCCTTGTTCGAATCAGGTGAGATGAGGTGGTTCATGAGGTGGTTCATGAGGTGGCATATCAGGCAAAACTACTAACTACCCCTCTACTAACTCCCCCCCCCCCTCACAGGTTCACAATTCCCCTTTTCGGCGTTAACTAAGCCCTCTCTTCTGCCCCTCTCTCTCTACAGACGACGTCGAGGGAGGCGTGGTGCTCCCACGCCAGCTACGCGGCCACCTGCTTGTCGTCGTGTGGGCTGGGCGCCGTGTTGTCGTGCTGGTGGCGCCCCCTGGTGACCAAGCCCGGGGAGATCCTGGCCAGGCACTATGCCACCTGCTCCCCGGACCTCGACACCTGTCCCAACGGCATCTGCGACGAACTCGAGCTCCTCAACTCCGGCATCTGCCCGCAGGATTGTGTTGGTGAGGAGGGGGGAGGGGGGGTGGGGAGGACGATATTTTGGTGATTGTAATGTGTTCCAATTTTTAATTTCATTGTTGTATTTGTAATTGAGTGTAATCCTCGACAGACAGACAGAGTGGGTCAGTGGTAATACACACTCGATAACAACAGTTGATTTGGGAAGTTTTCATGCTTGTAAACTGTTTAATAAATGTAAACAAAGCCGTCAAAGATTGTGGAAAGATGTACACGTTCGTAAGTACTTGCGTAACTGCTTCGTGAATCTGGCTCCTGGCGTCTCTTCCCCTACCCTCCTGGGTACAAAAATAAAAGAGAAGAAAGACACAGTGGAGAATTTGCATATGTTTTTGATCAATGATCGCGAGACGCCTCAGCCACTGTTGACACAGTGTTACTTTGTCACAGCGTTACTTACGATGTCGTGGACATGTCACACCACAAAGCTACGGAAACCATTCCGATTATGTGGGTAGTAGTAGTAGTAGTAGTAGTAGTCATCCATCAGTCTCAGGAGACTATGGTGTAGTGCTCTGGTTGTCGGTCTGGAGTGGCCTCTCCAGGGTGCAGAGCAAGGGTAGGTTGAATCGGAGGAGAAGCTGTTACCCATGCAGCAGGTCCCCCCTCTCCACGGCGCCGAAAGTGTCTGATGGAAAGGCAAACGCCAATACGATTGGTTCCAGCGCCGTCGCAGGACCTGTGAGCTCATCATGTGGGAGGTAGTGGACCCCATACTCATCACGCTGGTGGTAGTGGACCCCATACTTATCATGCAGGTGGTAGTGGACCCCATACCTATCATGTGGGCGGTAGTGGACCCCATACCTATCATGCAGGTGGTAGTGGACCCCATACCTATCATGTGGGCGGTAGTGGACCCCATACCTATCATGCAGGTGGTAGTGGACCCCATACCTATCATGTGGGAGGTAGTGGACCCCATACCCATCATGCAGGTGGTAGTGGACCCCATACCCATCACGCAGGTGGTAGTGGACCCCCATACCCATCATGCAGGTGGTAGTGGACCCCCATACCCATCATGTGGGCGGTAGTGGACCCCCATACCCATCATGTGGGCGGTAGTGGACCCCCATACCCATCATGTGGGCGGTAGTGGACCCCCATACCCATCATGTGGGCGGTTGGAGGAAAAGTATATAAAAACACATAAGGAACATAGGAACTAAATCTCAACGTTCATTTGAGTAAGCAGGTTACACAGTGTTGATGAGATAGCTACACAGTTTAATGTGTATATCAACAATGGGTTCATGAACTGGATCACAACAGTCCCTAATCTTGGCAATTTACAGTCTCGGTGGGTTACTTCCTCATTATGTGATGCCCCTCGACGCCATACAGTCTCAGGTGAGAGATTGACTGATTGATGGTAGCATGTTGATGGTATGTTTTATAGAAAGTGTGACGACGTGCAGTATGTCACTGCAGGGGTAACTTAACCTAACTTAACCTAACCTAACCTTACAGAACGTAACCTATCCTAACTTAACCTAGCCTAACTTAACCAAACCAAACCTAACTTTACCTAGCCTAACATAACCTAACCTAACCTAACTTAACAGAACGTAACCTAGCCTAATCTAACGTAACCTAACTTAACCTAACCTTACAGAACGTAACCTAACTTAACCTAACCTTACAGAACGTAACCTAACTTAACCTAACCTTACAGAACGTAACCTAACTTAACCTAACCTTACAGAACGTAACCTAACTTAACAGAACGTAACCTAATCTAACGCTCGTTCATTAGGCTGAAGTTAGATTAATTTTATAGAGGGAAAGACACAGAGAGGGGACGGGGGGGAGTCGAAGACACCGGCCGGGGGGGGGGAGGGGTTTGGGGAATGTCTTCTCACCCCCCCCCCCGTATGAGGGGGGGGGGTTGGGGAGGAGAATCACCATATGTTTCACCCCCTCATAATCAGGGTATCTAATAAACAATACGAAGATCAACAGCGTCAAATTCAAATATTATTTAGGTATGGACATAATGTTCTCCCTTGACACACACACACACACACACACCTTCTCTAACCTCTCACTCACAATCTCTCACCTTCCACAGACGAGTCCTGGAAGAGAGGCCATAGTATGACCATCTCGAGTGGAGGGTACGGTATCGAGGCGGGCTTTGGAGTGTGCAGCTGCGACGCGACGGGATGCAGCTGCTTCGCTGCGCCCGTCGAGGTGCCCCCATCCACACCCGAGGTCGACATCCCTTTCATGGAGCCCACGCACAGTCAGTTTTGTGGTGTTCTTGTCTACCTGTGAATATGACAGCTTTCACTAATAATATGACAGCTTTCACTAATAATATGACAGCTTTCACTAATAATATGACAGCTTTCACTAATAATATGACAGCTTTCACTAATAATATAACAGCTTTCACTAATAATATGACAGCTTTCACTAATAATATGACAGCTTTCACTAATAATATGACAGCTTTCACTAATAATATAACAGTTTTCACTAATAATATGACAGCTTTCACTAATTAGATAACGGTTTTCACTAATAATATGACAGCTTTCACTAATTAGATAACGGTTTTCACTAATAATAAGACAGCTTTCACTAATAATATGACAGCTTTCACTAATAATATGACAGCTTTCACTAATAATATGACAGCTTTCACTAATAATATGACAGCTTTCACTAATAATATGACAGCTTTCACTAATAATATGACAGCTTTCACTAATAATATGACAGCTTTCACTAATAATATGACAGCTTTCACTAATAATATAACAACTTTCACTATTAATATAACAACTTTCACTAATAATATGACAGCTTTCACTAATAATATAACAACTTTCACTATTAATATAACAACTTTCACTAATAATATGACAGCTTTCACTAATTATATGCCTTTCAGTAATTATATCACAAATAACGAAACATTTACTCCTGGGGTAGTATTTATAAATCACATTTACATAAAAAGTTAAAAAAATAGCTATTATTCCCCCCCCCCCCTCAAACTTTGTTTTTACGACCAGGACAGCTTAAATGGCTAAATATTTTGATATTTAGCCATTTTCAATGAGAAAACGAGCGAATTTGCATCTTTTCCCTCAAATATAATAAAAAAAACCGGCATAAGGATCATCAAAATTACCATGAATGTATATTAAAATTATACAAAAATTATCACAAAAGATTATAGAGTTGTTTTGAGAGATTTATGATTATAGTGTAAATCCCTTCCATGAATCTGCCCCCAAATGTTGTCTCCCATTGTGTTCTGGCTATACTGTCACACCGTGATGGGAACACTGGTAGCTGCGATCAGTGTCCGGTATATCCGATTGATTGATGAAGATTAAGCCACCCAAAAAGTGGCACGAGCATAAATAGCCCGTAAGTGGAGGCCCTTTTGAGCCATTACCAGTATCAGAGCTGATACTGGAGATCTGTGGAGGTGCGACTGCACCCTGCGTGACGGGAGATGTCTTCCCCCGGTATATCCTGGTGGACGCGGTATATTATATATATATATATATATATATATATATATATATATATATATATATATATATATATATATATATATATATATATATATATATATATATGCGAACAAGCCTGAATGGTCCCCAGGACCATATGCAACTGAAAACTCACACCCCAGAAGTGACTCGAACCCATACTCCCAGAAGCAACGCAACTGGTATGTACAAGACGCCTTAATCCACTTGACCATCACGACCGGACAAAATGAGGTGATAGCCGAGGCTATTTGAAACCACCCCACCGCCGGCACTCGGATAGTAATCTTGGGCATAGCATTTTACCAAATCACCTCATTCTTTGGGGCACACATTCTTTTGTTGCGTTGCTTCTGGGAGTATGGGTTCGAGTCACTTCTGGGGTGTGAGTTTTCAGTTGCATATTGTCCTGGGGACCATTCAGGCTTGTTCGCATTTGTGTTCCTCACGTGTGCCCCAAAGAATGAGGTGATTTGGTAAAATGCTATGCCCAAGATTACTATCCGAGTGCCGGCGGTGGGGTGGTTCAAATAGCCTCGGCTATCACCTCATTTTTGTCCGGTCGTGATGGTCAAGTGGATTAAGGCGTCTTGTACATACCAGTTTTTGCGTTGCTTCTGGGAGTATGGGTTCGAGTCACTTCTGGGGTGTGAGTTTTCAGTTGCATATTGTCCTGGGGACCATTCAGGCTTGTTCGCATTTGTGTTCCTCACGTGTGCCCCAAAGAATGAGGTGATTTGGTAAAATGCTATGCCCAAGATTACTATCCGAGTGCCGGCGGTGGGGTGGTTCAAATATTCGTTTGCCTTGTTCGGGTTGAATGTAGACACAGTAGTCGCTTCTGTATATATTTATTGAGTGAGGCAAACAGGTGTATAACTGGCCAGCCGAGGTCCACCTACTCTGGGTCTGTGAGGATAACTGAGGCTGCTGGGAGCATGCTTGATGCTCCTCTGTCTGGCATGACGTCAGAGGCCTACTTGCCTGTGATTGGTTACATTTCAACTGACAGAATTTGAGTATAACACCGCTCGGACACGCTACCAAGTCGACGTCCCTTGTCGACAAGCTCTGGCTAGCTATATAGTTACAATGATACTGAAAGGACCTCGGTGGCATACAATAATGGCTTACATGTGAAATTTGCATAATAAAACATTGAAAGAAGATCAGGTGTGCGTAATACTAACAACTCGGCATATATGCACCAAAAAAAAAATTCATCATAATAGGTGAAAATCATGGTAACAATGCTTTGATTAAACCAGAGTATTAAGAACATGTGTATGTCTACTGATCAGATATGAACAATACAACTCAAGGTATTGCCTAAACAAAATTATTAACATGTGTCAATGGCATGTGCTTGAAAACCATACAAAATTAAACAATTATTACATTAATAGAACAAAGTTCTGACCTAACAACCACAATTGAATTTCAAGATAGATAATTTTTTTTTTTTTTCTTTTTTTTTTTTTTTTTCGAAATATACAATATATTTACAAGACCAATGTACAATATATATAATGTGCAATATATTTACAAGCATATACAAGACCTGGATCAAGAAGACTAACATCTGCGTGATAGCAGTCAGGATTCACTGGCCACAATGTGGTTGCTAGAACAATAATAACTCTTATGACAAGCACTGTAAAAATACAAATGGTAGTAGACTTGACAATGGCATCTAATTCATAACAAAATAAAGTTGAGAAAAACTATACATTATATATAATGGTAATAATAAGACACATGTGGTAGAAATACTGCAATTGAGTTTTTTTTTTTTTTTTTTCAAAACAAACAGAATAACTACAGAGTGCATTCAATTATAAATTCTGCGGATATCTACACCTAGCTCATCCAGAGCACTATACAACTCTGGCTCTGACTGAAGGTCCGGAACAGATGAAACTTCATGTGACAAACTATCATCTTGAGAGATATCCTCGTTAACATCTAGCCAATGGACGTGTGGTGAGTGCACGGTTGAAACGAGAGGTCTAGATCTAAGATTATAATTGCTAGTATGGGGTTGCTGAACATCCAGTGGTCTGTCAACCACAGGAGGTGGTGTCCGAGTAGGAGTATCTGTCTGGGTAAGTTCATTGTCATCTTCCTCATCAGTCTCGTCAACAGTCATTTTAGCTAACTTCATGTGGTCTAAATGTTCATTTATATACTCTCCTGTTAACAAGTTCTTAAGTCTGTATTTGTTACCTTTAATAAGCTCGATTACCTTATATGGACCCAAAAATTTCTTAGTTAACTTGTACATAGGACCAGACCTGTGTTGGTTAAGTATCATTACTACAGATCCAATAGTTATTTTACTGGGTTTAGCTCGTGCATTCCTTGCTAGAGTGAACTCGGCTGTTGCTTTGGACAGTTGTTCTCGTATTTTCTTGAATACTAATTGCATTTGTCTACGCTTCACTTGAACAAAATCATCTACGTTATATAAGGGAGTAGGAGGTACGTTAATCAATTCATTAGGGAGGATCTTATCTGTACCATAAAGAATAGCGTGAGGTGTGTCACCAGTAGAAACATTAATTGAAGAATTTATAGCACACTGAATTAAGGGTATAAAATCATCCCAATTGTTGTTATCAAAATTCAACGTGACTCTCAAGGCATCTAACACTTTCCTGTTAGTACGTTCAGCTAGTCCATTACTTGCCGGATGATAAGGCATGATGCTACATTTTTTGATGTTATATAAATCACACAAGCTAGTTAGAATACTATTACTGAATTCTGGACCATTATCTGAAAGGATTACTTTAGGCATACTATATCTACAAATTATTTGGTCATGGAATGCGCTGGCTATGGTTTCTGCTGTTTTGTTCGGGATAGGAACTAGTTCGCAAAACCGTGAAAAATTATCGACCATTACAAGCAAATGTTTGTTCCCTTTCTCTGTTTCCGCAAAATTTGTCAATAAATCCATCGATATTCGTTCCCAAGGAGCTTTAGTTGCTGGGTACACCTGAATTGGATTAGGTCCTGAAACATGTCCCTTGTGCTGTAAACAAGTTAAACATCTGTCAACATAATGAGCAATCTCCTTAGCCATTTTTGGCCAAAAATATTTCAATCGACCTTGTTGGAGTGTACGATCCTTTCCTGGATGTGCACTTGCAGGAGCATCATGGATAATTTTTAACACAGTTGGTACCAAGACAGCTGGAACAACTAACTGACAACATTTCCTCGAGGCTGTCCCTAGCTTTACTACTCTACACAGTAAATTGTCCAACATAACTAGTTCTTTCAATGGTACTGGTGGTTTATGAATCGGGCGAGTGTCTTGCTTAGTCAAAATTTAATGACGGGTGCCCATATGGGGTCTTGTCTTTGTTCCGTTTCTACTACTGTAGCATCTAATGCTGGGTAATTTAACTGAATCGCAGCTACGTGTCGAGAAAACGCATCGGCTACAACATTTTGCTTTCCTGGAATATATCCAAATGTGGGATTGAATTCTTGAATTGTGAGCAAATATCTAGCAAACTTTCCAACTGGATTCTTATTTTTGAACAAGGGAATTAATGGTTGGTGATCTGTAAGAACATGAACTGGGTAATTATAAATTGTATCCTTGAAATGTTTAAGTGCCCAAACAACTGCCAAGGCTTCTCGTTCTGTTGCACTATAATTTTTCTCTTCTTTGGATAATGTGCGGCTAGCATAAGCTATTGCGTGATCTCTGTGACCTTCT